AAGATGGTGAGAGGAGGACGAGGATGATGAGGAAGATGGTGAGAGGAAGGTGAGGATGATGTGAAAAGAGGAGGTGAGAAGAGGAGGAGAATGGCAGCGAGAAAAGGAGGATGAAGAGGATGGTGAGGAGAATGACAATGAGAAGAGGAGGATGAGGAGGAGGAAGGTGAGAAGAGGATGAAGAGGAGGATGGTGAGAAGAGGAGGAGGAAGATGAGGATGGGGGTGAGGAGGGATCTTGGAGGTCTTCTCCAACCCTACTGACTCCATTTAGGGTCATGGAAGGGTTGAGTTGGGGATTTTGGAGGTCTTCTCCAACCCTAAGGATTGTACGGTTCTATTTAGGGTCGTGGTGGGGTTGGGGATCTTGGAGGTCTTCTCCTACTCCAGGGATTCTATTTCAGGTCATGGTGGGTTGGGGATCTCAGAGATCTTCTGCAACCTTACGGATCCTGTGGTCCTATGTAGGGACACAGCGGGGATGTGTTTGGGACCTTGAAGGCCTCCTTCAACCCTAATGATCCTATTTAGGATCACCGTGGATCTTGGAGGTCTTCCCCAACCCTACTGACTCTATTTAGGGTCACGGTGGGGTTGAGCTGGGGATCTCAGAGGTGTACTCCGACCCTAAGGATTCTATTTAGGGTTGTGATGGTGCTCGATTGCGGATCTTAATGGTCTTCTCCAACCCTACTGACTCTATTTAGGGTCATGGTGGGGTTGGGTTGGGGATCTTGGAGGTCTTCTCCTACTCCAGGGATTCTATTTAGGGTCATGGTGGGTTTGGGATCTCGGAGACCTTCTGCAACCTTAAGGATCCTATGGTCCTATGTAGGGACACAGCAGGGATGTGTTTGGGGCCTTGAAGGCCTCCTCCAACCCTAACGATCCTATTTAGGATCATGGTGGATCTTGGAGGTCTTCTCCAACCCTAAGGACTGTATTTAGGGTTGTGATGGTGCTGGACTGCAGATCTTAATGGTCTTCTCTAACCCTACTGACTCCATTTAGGGTCATGGAGGGGATGGGGTGGGGATCTTGGAGACCTTCTCCAACCTTAAGGATTGTATTTAGGGTCATGGTGAGTTGGGGATCTCTGGGATCTTCTGCAACCTTACAGATCCTATGGTCCTATGTAGGGACACAGCGGGGATGTGTTTGGGACCTTGAAGGCCTCCTCCAACCCTAACGATCCTATTTAGGATCATGGTGGATCTTGGAGGTCTTCCCCAACCCTACTGATTCCATTTGGGATATCCGTAAGGATTCTGTGCTTCTATTTAGGAACGCGATGGGGATGGTGATCCTGGAGGTCATCTACAACCCTAAGGACTGTATTTAGGGTCATGGTGGGGTTGGCACCTCAAAGGTCTTCTCCTGTCCTACTGATTCCAGTTATGGTTGTTGTGGGGTTGAATTGGGGACCTTGGAGGTTTTCTCCTATCCTAATAATTCTATTTATGGTCACGGTGGGGTGGAGATCTTGGAGATCTTCTCCAACCCTATGGATTCTATTTAGGGTCATAGAATTGTTGGATTTGGGATCTTGGAGGCCTTCTCCAACCCTAAGGATTCTATTTATGATCATGGTGGGGTTTGACTGGGGATGCTGGAGGCCTTCTCCAACCCTAAGGATTCTATTTAGGATCATGCTGGGGTTCAACTGGGGGTCTTGGAGGTCTTCTCCAACCCTAATAATCGTATGGTTCTACATAGGGACACAGTAGGGGTGGGCTGGGGATCCTGGGGTTCTTCTCCAACCCTAAGGATTCTATTTAGGGTCATGGTGGGGTTGGGGATCTCAGAGATCTTCTCCAACCATAAGGATTCTGTCTTTCTATTTAGGAACGCAATGGGGTTGGGGATCTTGGAGGCCTTCTCCAACCCTAAGGATTCTATTTAGGATCATGGTGGGGTTTGACTGGGGATCTTGGAGCTCTTCTCCAACCCTAAGGATTCTATTTAGGGTCATGGTGGGGTTGGTTTGGCAATCCTGGAGCTCTTCTCCAACCCTAAGGATTCTATTTAGGGTCATGGTGGGGTTGGTTTGGCAATCCTGGAGGTCTTCTCCAACCCAAATGATTCTACGCTTCCATTTAGGGCCGCGGTGGGGTTGGGGTTGGACTCCTCCCTCTTCAGAACGGAGCTGCCTCCCGTTGCGATGGAGCGGCGGGGTGGAGGTGTGGAGGTACCTGGTCATCCATCAGCGACACCAACGGGGAAACCACCAGCGCGATGCTCCGCGAGCGTTTGTGGTACAGGAAGGCAGGCAGCTGATAGCACAGCGATTTCCCCATCCCCGTGGGGAGCACGACCAACGTGGAGAGCCCTGCGGACGGCGACGAGGGTTGGGGGAACGGAGGGGACGTGGCAAGAGGGACGGAGCGGGAAGAAAACGCACCTGAGAGGATCCTCATGATGGCCACCTCCTGGCCGGGCCGAAAGGAGCTGTAGCCCAACTCAGAGAGCGCGTCCAGCACCTCCCTGGGGGTCTCTGTGAAGAATATGGAGAGGTTAGGAGTGGGGAGACGTGGGATTGGAGGTGGAAACGTGGCTGCAGCCTCACCTCGTGGCTTCCCATCCGGCCCCAAGCTGTAGAGGGGCTCCACGGGTGCCGGAGGTGTGGGGGGCTCATAGGGCGGGCGCTGCACGTCCAGGTATGGAGTTGGCTCAGCGAGCTCGGCTCCGTCCTGGTCACTGCTGGATGCTGGGGATGGAGGTGTCAATCAGCACGGCCTGAGGGATGCGGGGGAGCAGGGAGGGCTCCCGGGGCCGCGGGGTCTCACCGGGGAGCTCCTGGTAAATGGTGTTGGTCCGGCGGGCCACCTCTTCCAGTGTGGGCAGGGGATCCTCCTCCTCCTCTTCTTCTTCAGCGCTGGGATGGATGGGTTCTGCTGGAGGAGCTGCGTGGGCAGCGGTGCCTGGAGGGAGGAGGAGCGGGAGATGGTCCTCAAGGAGGAGGAGGTGGAGGGGGACGCAGAAGGAGCAAGAGGTGGTGGTGGTGGTGGTGGTGTCCACATGGACCCAGGAGCACAAGATGGTGGTGACCACATGGACCCAGAAGGAGCACAAGATGGTGGTGACCATATGGACCCAGGAGCACAAGATGGTGGTGTCCACATGGACCCAGGAGCACAAGATGGTGGTGACCACATGGACCCAGAAGGAGCACAAGATGGTGGTGACCATATGGACCCAGGAGCACAAGATGGTGGTG